ATTCAAGCTTTATCACGGATACGTATGTATGGAAAAAAACATAGAAGGTATAGGGTTCAATATTATCCATGGCTTCAGGCATGTCTCGGAATGTGGGTAAGGGGGACTGATGTAAAGAATTTAGAGGAAAGTGGCTTCTTTCTTCCATGGCCCCTACACACACACACACACTCGTGCCTATATAAACATCCCCATTCTCTCCCACACCTTATATAGCGGTTCTCTGTGCACTCCCCGTCTTCTCACTCGGCTTTTTGAGAATGACATTCAAGACTTAAGCCCAGCGCTCCAATATGAAATAAAAATACGCATCACGGAATCCAAAGCACTTAGTCTGAATTTTACTTCCTTTGGTTTAGGGACAGATTTTTCCCTGCCAGCAATGGCAGGTCCTAGTCACCCCCAGTCCCAGCCCTCTCCAAGCTCTGATGTAGACAGGCGACTGCAAGGCTGCCTGCTAGGTCTAGGGAGAGGCTGGTGTTTTTTTATTTTAAAATATGCATATAATAAATCACTTCGGGTAGCTTTCTCTGGCTTTCCCAGGACCTCTGATGCGCCCTCGCCTCTGTGACTGGCCCAGCGAGAACGCCTGAAAAAGCAGCGCACATGCTTCCCATAAACACGCCAGTGGCTTTTCCACATGACATAAATTATCAAGTGGGAGGTGAAGGGACCCAGGCTGGGTCGCAGCGGCTCTAAGCTACCCCCTGGTGGCAGGACTTCTGTGACAGGGCCACCCAGCCTGCACTCAGCCTGCGCATGGGCCGTGACTGCGTCCCCAGGGTACACAGCCCACAGCACCTCCTAATACTTGCTAGTGGCAGCGGCAAGAGCCCAAAACAAGTAATTCAAATTTTACTTTCTTCTGTCCAACTGGGAGTCACTGGTTCTTCCAATTGTGTGACTTTCTAACTTTTTGTATCACAGTTTTTGAACCCAATCTTACTGCCCAGATGGATTAAAAGCAAATGTGGAAGACTTCCCATGCTCAAAGTAAAACCCTGATAGCATGAAATATAAAGGCCTGAATCATCATTGGTAAAGCTCCAAAGCTTTTTAAAGAAAGGTCTTCGCCGCGATCGATGGGGACATTTGCCCCTGCCCTGGCCTGGAACTCGCAGAATGGGTCAGAGCTGGCCTGAAGGTGCCTGTACCGCAGAGGTGCAATTTGGGTGACTCAGTCAGAACAGAGAGGGCTAAAGGGGGACTGAAGAATGGGCTGTGGGGCTTCGAGCCCACTGTGACTGGAGTAAGAAGAAACAGCCCGGGGCGGTGGGAGGGAGAAGGCAGTGGTGGCCCAAGTTCTTCCAGGAAATGAAGAATTTCTTGAGAAGTCTATGAATTTTGCACCTGGAATCTTACTCTTCAGGCATCACTAGAAACCATCTCTAGTCAGGAATAAATGTGACACTGCCCAAGACGGGGGGTGGCAGGGACACAATGTCATTTTGGGGTCCCTTGTACGAGTTTAACTGTCCCCCTGAACAGACAAGATGAGCTACTGGGAGGGAAGCAAAATCCACTTTACTTGTCGGACAGAATGAGTTCACAGAAGGGATTGCACACCCCTTTTCCTGACGGCAGATGCATACTTTAGCGGAGGCCTCACTCGGGGCTAATGGTCAGGCCCTGAGTGGAAATTCTGAGTTCGTCAGGCCTGAATTTGGGAAATCAAGGTTGCACCTAAAGCTTCATGGTCTGCTAAGAACAGCAGATATACACTGCCCTTTCTTCTCCTGCTGGGCATGTAATTGGTTCTCATACTACTTTTCCTAGAAGGCAAGGCTATCGTTGCAGGCACCCTTTGGGAGGAAGGGAACAGAGACAGGTGAGAAATCTTTCACCCAGATGGGCCGAAAGCAATCCAGGCCCCACCTCATTATCAACAGTCACAGCGTCAACATGTGCTCCCGAGGTCCCTCCGCAGCTAGGTCTCTCCCGTGCTCAGGAGAAATCTCTTACCGGGATCACTGTACGATCAAACTTCCCTACTGCACAGTTACAAGCACTTTCGTTTTGTTTTTGGGGAAAGTGTAGGACACACATTTTTAAATATAAATTAATTCTTTCCCACAACAATGCTTATTGACCTGGCCACTGCAGTAAAACTTTCACTACAGAGATTTGTCCCTTGCATTAAGCTTTTAAGAAAGAGGTCAGGGGCTGGGGATTTAGCTCAGCGGCAAAAGCGCCTGCCTTGCAAGCGCAAGGTCGTGAGTTCGGTTCCCGGTACCGGAGAAAAACCAAAAAAAAAAAAAAAAAAGAAAAAAAGAAAGAGGTCAAAGTAAAAAATCTAAGGGATTAGGAAAGTCTTACAAAAGTAAATGAGAAAACAAAGTCTCCTCCTAAATGCAATCAAACCATTCATGTTTCGCAGGGATCCATCGGCTTCCCGTGGCTTCCACACGCCCAGTTCAGACACAAGTCTCAGGAGAAAAGACGTCTCCGTGAGCTGGAGGGACTTCCACTCACCTTGGTGACTCTGGGGGACAGCCAGACTCCCCGCTGGCCAAGGGCTAGAAGGGGAAACAACTGCAGACCAGAGGAACATTCCGCAAGGCCTGAAATGCTGTGCCAGTCAGCCTCAACTACGTGTCTCTATTCTTGTTGTCATTTGCTTTATTTCGTCCCCAGATAGACCATATGCCCAGACAGCTGGCAGTGTGTCCGCTTCTTCTCATTAGCATATCCCAAGTGCCCAGTGGGGCGTTCACATTCAAAACAATAAGAGACACAGTGGTGCCTTGGCTCATGAACTTAAATTCTTTCCACGATTCTGGTCACAAACTGAATTGGATGAGAACTGAATCAAATTTCCCCAGAAGGTTATCAGTGAATCTAACCACTGAATTGTATCCAGTTCACATCCAATTCGTTTTCTGACCAGAATCATGGAAAGAATTAAGTTCATGAATGAAGGTACTACTGTATATTTAAACTTAGCTAAGACTATGCATTAATAGTTGGGTAAAAAGAACGAAAGAACAAACGTCCATTACTTAATAATACCTCCTGAATATCAAAATTACTTCCATAATAAAGAATTAATAGGGGGCTGGGGATTTAGCTCAGCGGCAAAGCGCCTGCCTGGCAAGCGCAAGGTCGTGAGTTCGGTTCCTGGTACCGGAGAAAAACCAAAAAAAAAAAAAAACAAAAAAAAAAAAGAATTAATAGCTGAACTCTGAAGCTGAAAACTTACTGAAGTTTGAATTACTCGGAAATTTCTTTAAAATCTAAAGTTTGGACATAAGTTTTGTTTAAAACTAGAGTCCTTTTACTCATCAGTAAGATCCCTAGAAAAAGTACTTGATGGCTTTGTTGTGATTTCAATGAACTCAGACTTGAACTGAAAGAAGAAAGAGCACAAAATCAACCCTGATTGTCACTGTAATTTCTCACCCAAACCACAGGCCAAGGGACTGCTGTTTAAAGCGCTTAGAAAATAAGGACTACCCCAAGCAGCCAGCACGCCCGAAATTCTATTCCAGCCCTCCCCTCTGTCCACACCGAAGTTTTTCTAGCTTAATTTATCCCTGATTAATAAATAATTAATACTCAGTAGCAATTAATATCCCATCAACTCTTACTACTGACTTTGTGAAATCCCTCCCCATATCCGTCACTTTGGCCCTCTTTCTTTTACCAAGTGGGGACAGAATAAAAGGAGATCGGAAGACGGTGATGGGTAACGCATGGGCGCCTGTGTCCGGAAAAAAAAAGATGTCTTATGAACATTTTATAGCTCAGCATCATTAATGCCTGAAAAAGCAGGAATTACAATAGAAAGCAAAATGAAACCCCCAAAACTTGGAACTTAAACTTTTCACAGAACAAATGTTATAAACATTAGAAGACCTCAAGAGAATATGTACATCTAAAACACAGCCCAGTGATATACCTAATTGTTACTTCCTAGTGCTCCCCAGCCTGCTCTCTCCAATGACGAGACAAAGAGGCCTCCTTTCCTGAGTACATAACATTTATAAACTGCATCAGCCCCACAGTGAGCATCTTTCAAGGAATTTCACCCAAGCCAAAGAGAAGATCGAAGATGAAACTGCAGCAGGTCTGGCAAAGAGCGGAGAACTGTGCAGTCGCAGAGCCAACCTGCAAGCTGTCCTCAGTCCCTGCACCACAAATCAAGTCCATGTTGTAGGGCCAGGAGGACGGGCCCGGCCTTGGCCTGTGGCAGCGGAGCCGGGTCCTAAGGCCCCGCCAGAGGTCTGATCTGTAACTCGCGCTCCAGCTGCTCTGCAGTCAGGCTGCCCTGGATGGCCTCGCAGCCCGGGTTGAACACAGAGTAAGCGCTCTTCTCGCCCTCCTTCTTCTCCCCAGGGCCTCGTGTGCCTACGTACATCCAGTAGAACAAGGACAGCACAAAATAAGCCAGGCCAAACTCCAGTTCCACGAACAGTCCCAGTAGGACCAACCAGAGAAGAACCTTCAGGAAGGTGATGTTGGTCAGCAAAGACCCGCTGCAGTGTGGAGGCGGAGGCGGAGGGCTGGCGACATTCCGTGGGGGCTGTGACGTGTTGCTCCTGGGCTGAGCCGCTTCCTAGGATACACAAGCAAACCAAGTAAGAGTAAATGGTAATGGTGCTGAGGGTCAGAACTAATCTAGAGAGGCAGTTCTTATTACTCTAGGAAGGCTGTGGCTCATTGATTTCTATTTCCCTGCCCGACTCTCTAAAACAATCATCACCAGAGAGCTTCTGTGCTGACTGAATGGAATCAAAAATGATCAGCACTTAGCGAGATGTGACCCCATAAAAACCCCACAGCATTCAGATGGATTCCCATTTGTGGGAGCCGTTTCTTCACGTTAGTCTGCTGCTAACACAAGCTAATTTGTGCCCCAAACAGAAACTGCCCGGTAATCGACAGTGCAGCAGCCCTGCTGTCTGCCTCCCATGCAGAGTCAAGGGACATCTGCTGATTTGATTAGAGGAGCTCTAACAGGATGAGTGACATGACTCTAAAACAGAGGATGCTCAAAACAAAAGCTCTTTTACATATTAAAAACAAAACAAAAACCGCTGCTCCGGCCACTCCTGGACCCTCTCACCATCCTAAGCATCCCAACCAGGTCCTGGCTGCTCACCCCAAGGCCTGGGCTGTGGCTCCTAACTTAGTTAGATTCCATGCCTCCCGTCTCCTCCTCCCCAAACCAGCTGAGGTACAACTGCTACAAGAATTGTCTAAGTCACCCACTGACCTCCCGCCACAAACCTTCAACAAAGGTGTTCAAATCTAAACCCTGGGGTGGGAACCCAAGGTGCCCCACACATTTGTACCCAGGCCCCTGTGCCAGACGCCAATGGGAGACAGGTGCGTGCTTCCTTTAGCCCACAGTTTTCCAGACTTTCTTGGGCATGACCTACAGTAAGAAAAACATTTTACACTGAGACCTGGCATACAAGTGTGCAGTGGAAACAAAGCTTCATGAGCAGCTCTCTGCCTTTTCCTAAACAATTTTAAAAGAGAATGCAATCTTCTACGTTCACCATCCACTAAGGGGCCACCACTTGCAGTTTGACAAACGAAAGCCTAAAAAGATGTCCTGTACCACACGACCCATAATCTATTGCTCCATAAATGACCCCTCTGCCCCAGCGTGACTGATCTTGCTACCCAAAGACATCCTGTGGCTTGGAATTGCCTCTGGCTCCTGTCCTCACCCCAACTCCTTGCCTGCCTTCTAAACTAGTGAGATTGCTGAACTGGGCCTGCCCTGACCTCCTTGGCCATAATGCCCCAATCCCGGGGCACTAACAGACTCGGTCTCACTGAGCACCACTATTTAGCATCGGGGTGTCCCACTTTTGATTTGGGTTCCATGTGTCCCTGGAGTGCACCTAATGCAGAAGCAAAGGACTGTCGTGTCTTTTGGTGTGACAGGCACCCCGTGCTTAGGTTCTCAATGCCAAGGAACTTTCAGCTATAGCCTCTATGCTTCTTCACAGGAATATTTACAGGGGGACTGCAAATACTGGCCTCCATAAGAAAGTATTAGTCGCCCGATGTATGGTTCAAGAAATTCTGTTTGGTTGGGACTTTCTTTTTAGAGCATCAACACTGTAATTACTACCTTTTTGATTAGACTATAAAGTCTGGAAAGGCTCTAACATCTCAACAACGTCCCCTACCCCTGACATTTATTAAAGAAGAAGCGTTCCTCTAAGGTGTGGCCACCGTGCCCAATCCTTCTCGTCCAAGAGGAGGAGTGACGAGGTTGGGAAGGTCTGGCTTGTCCAGGGACAGGACATGCAGAGTGACTGCTGCGTCCTGCACAAAGGGGATGAGACGATGGAGGAGTGGAAGGCAGCAGCCAGGCCACACGGGCCAGGCAGGCCACAGTAAAGATTCTGGAAATGGGAAACCACGGAAGGTCTTAGTGGGGAACTCACACAGTCCCACCCACCTTTAGGACCACTCTGCATGCAGAGAATGCATTTCTATTTCCCTGCCTGACTCTCTAAAACAATCATCACCAGAGAGCGTCTGCACTGGCTCCAATGCAATCAAAAATGATCAGCAGGTGCTAATGCAGGAGAGAAACTGGCAGATGTTAACGCAGGAGGCCCAGCAAAAGAGGCCCAGGCGTTGATTAGGGTGGCAACAGATGTCAAAGAGCAATGATGGATGGATAGGTACAGTATCCATCTGGAACATACCTGAACCAAATTTCCCAATAAGCTGAGTTTATTATTCAGGGAATATAAAAAGAATAATGTTCAAATGCCACCACTTACTGAGTGCTTCCCCAGTGTCTGTAGTCCTGGAGGCAAACATTATTATTATTCCCAATTTGTTGTTGTGGAAACATTTCCCACTGCACGCAGATATGAAGCGCTAGGAGAGCAGGACTTTATCTGTCTTAACCACACAGTCTCCAGGGTTTAGGATGGAAGCTGGGCACTGTGGCTCATGACGAGATTGTTGAATGAATGAATCACAGTGAGGGAAAGGGAGAAATTAAAGAGGCACAGCATCTGCTAGAGAAGGAGGCAGGTGGTTTCAGCAGGATTAGAAAATTACCAGCAGAGCTGTCACAATGCGGCAGACAGGCATCACAGAATGGAGCTCTGCGCTTTGCTTTTCCTCAAGCAAAATTAGCAGGGAGGAGGAGGAATGTGAGTATTTCCTGATCAACGACTACCTCAGAGATGCAATTATAAACAGATAACTAATGAAATCTCCGACAGGCCACAGTGTGCCATCAGAACTATCAGACTGTAACTTTGAGAAAAACAAAATTTTAATGAGAATTTTTATACCAGAGCACACCCAGGAACAGTTAGGTCAATGAAAACGAGCCTAAGCAAGTTGCTCGTGAAGAGCGAGGCAATCAGTAAGAACCAGCCCAAGATTCGTCATTTCTTCTCATCCTTCTGTCAGGCCATCAGCTTTGGGGCGTTTAATAACAGAAGCTTTCTCCGTGTTCAGTGTCTCTGGGTTCAACTCAATGATCTCATGCTCTTTTGGAAATAAGACACAGTCAAAAGCTCATTGTGTGCGTTAGACATTGTTTTTGCAACTGCAGGGGTAAACCAGAATAGGAGAAATGGATTCTAAATCTTGAGCAATTGTGCTCAGTAAGCTCTAATCAGTAATAGCCAAAGACAATTGAGAAAAACTGCGTGCAAGGAAGTGGGAGTGCTGAACCCCGCTGCACCCCTCTTTCACCCTGCAAAGAGGAACCCTGAATACTGTGCAGAACACAGAACAGTAAGTTTTTGATTTTAAAAAAAAATCCTTAGACAGATGTTATGCAATAATAGATGAACTTATAAAAAATGACTTTAAGGTGAACAGGCATATTGCTCCCATGCATTCTGACAGCTAAAAGGAAGTTTTGGACTCTTACTACACTAAGCTTTTCTAACCTAAGTGATATCCAAGCATATGCCCTACTGGTAGTTACAGACCCAAACCTTTTGTAGGGTTTGTATTCAAATTCCATTTCTAAAGCCCAAGCTGTCTGCCACACTGGCCCATGTGTTCCAAGTACCCCTAGCCTGACGCCTTAATTACCACCACTTGTGATCTGTATTCAACTGGACCTTTGTGCTCAGCTTGGTCCCGGAGGTGTCCCAGAGCCACAGTATGTGGAAGGGAAGAGAGAAAACCCAAATAAACTCTCCAGCCTCGCCTGCTTTCAGTTGACTTTAAAATCATTAATTTTGGAGGCGACATAGCTGAGCAATGTATTGGTCTCAGGACACGTCTAACAGAAGCCACCTAACAGGTTAAAACTACTGCCTTTCTTCATCTCCCTGTTCTTCTATGTCTTCAGGAGTCACTGCAAAGTTAGCTATTCCTGGGAAAAGGAACTAAAAGGAGTGGGAGACTTTCTAACCATCAACTTTAAAGAGCCCAAGGCATCTGACTGGTCTTCAAGTAACTTCAAAGTGTTGGCCAAGGACGTGCTAAGCTTGTTCTTTAATTAAAAGTAAAATAAGCTGGGCGTAGTGGTTCATGCCTGTAATCCCAGCACTCGGGAGGCTGAGACAGGAGGATTGCTGTGAATTCGAGGCCAACCTGGGCTACAAAGCAAGTTCGAGGCCAGCCTGAACTATATGGTGAAAAACTGTCTCAAAAAGACCAAAAAAAAAAAAAAAGAAAAGAAAAGAAAGTAAAAGCAAAATAATATTCAATTTGTAGGGAAATAATGTTTATCTAAAGAACTACTAGGACGGGCCTAAGAGAAGAAAATCAACGGTTAACTCCATGATGGTCTGGCAGAGAAGAAAACATAAATCCTGCTTTTCTCCTCCCTCCCTTAAAAGCCCTCGGGGCCCTGAGTTTCCTAAGATCTTTGCTCTTCTTCGGTTTGCCAGCACTCCAAACCAATTTCTTCTTGTCCCAACCACTTGTCCTCCAGTATGAGTGGCGAGTAAAGGAAGCCATACAACTGGGCGTGACAGCGAGACCTCAACTTCCTATGAACAATTCAAAAGCAGAGTTTCATTCTGCCTGGAGTCAGGGCTGCGTGGGACCTGAGCTGGGAAGAGAAGCATTAGAGCCACGTGTCATTGGCAGACACCCAGCGCCGCAAACACGAAGTCTCACCCCAAGCCCTAGAGGAGCCTGCAGCCCCGCCCCGGCCCCGCCCCGGCCCCGCCCAACGGCCCCGCCCCCGCCCGGGCTCCGAGGACACGCGGTGGGCGTGTCCTCCCTGGGGGCGGGGCCTGAGCAGTTTCCACAGAGGCCTTGGCGGCGTTCCGGAAGCCAGATGCGGGACAAAGCCTCTGTCCTCTCACCTGAGCGGGGGTGGGCGGGGCCCGGGCACTCGCGGGCCTCGGTTTCCGTACAAGTATCAGGAACCGTCTTAACCAGCCTGAGGCTGCCTCTGGAGTCGTAAGGGCTTCCGCCTTCTCTCCCGAGGTTTGTGTGGTCTGACTGGAAGTGCGGGGTTGAGCTGCCTGCCCGGCCCGTTTGCGAGCCGCCCGGAACTCGGCGAGCCGCTGTTCCATGGCGCGCGCCCGCCTCCCGCGCTGTCCGGCGCCGCGCCTGCGTAGGTCGCTGTGTTGCGCGTGCGCGCTGGCGGGCCGTGGCCCCTTCGGCGCGGCGGTGACGTCCGGTCCGTCCGCACACGCGGCCGTACAAACGCGCGTGGGCACGGCGGTCACCTCCTCCAGGTGGTGACCGGTAAGGGGCCAAACGAGGCCTGCCCTGTTCCTCGCTCTCGCCCCCGGCTCCCCGGGGGATCCCTACCTTGCTCCTGCCCGGCTGGGGCTCTGGTCCCGACGCATCCAACTTTCTGTAGCGTTGAGCGCCCCGCCGGCCGCGTCCGGGCGCACCACGGTGAGAAGGTGCACCGGGACGGAGAAGGCGGTGATCGCTGAGGTTTCTAGTGTCACGGTGCGGCTAGCTCTCTTTTTTTTTTATCAGGGTGTGCGGATCTCGGTACTTAGGGACTTCTCAGTGCTCGCAGAGCAGGCTGTGCAGTCCTCTGGCCACCCTGGAAGTTGTTGATGTGGGCTGATAGGTCAGAAACTTAAAAAAAGAAAGAGAAACAAAATCTTTAGGACTGGCAGTGTAGCTCAGTGATAGAATGCTTGCCTAGCGTGGGGCCATGGGCTCAAGTCCCCAGCACTGAAAAAAAAAAAAAGGAGGGGAAAAAAAACCTGAGGCAGGCATGGTGGCCCACACCGGTAATCCCAGCACTCTAGGAGGCTGAGACAGGAGGATTATAAATTCGAGCCCAGCCTGCACAATTCAGCAATTTAGTGAGACCCTGTAAAAATTAAAAAGGGCTGGGGACGTAGCTCCGCACGAAGGCTCAGGGTTCAATCCCAGTGCTGTGGAGGAATAAAGAAAAAAAAAGTTTAAAATACAGAAATCTTAAGTATAGCTTAATAACTGTTCTTGTACAACTACCACCCATCTAACAAACATTGCTAGGACTGTGTGCCCTTGCACTCAGTACCCATCCAAAAGGACACATCTGGCGAAGTGCCTCCTGCATAATCGGCCCTCAGGTATTTGTTCGATCTTGCATACTTCTAGTCAGTAAGTTACTCCAGCGCTCTTTCATTCGCTTAGCAAATATTTGGGGCCATGTGTCGAGTATTCTAGGGCCAGAGAGGTTCTGGGGTGAATGAAACAAAAACCTCCGTTTTCTGAAAGCTTACGTCATAAATGGAAAGACAAGCAGTAAAGGAGCAGGCAGCTACACACTTAATGTAAGGTCGGGTGCTGATCAGTGCTGTGAAGGAAAGTAAGGAATGCGAGTGGTGGGGCTGTTCAGAGCCAAGGACCAGGAAATACCTTTCTGAGGCTTTGCTATCTGAGCAGAGACCTAATTTACGTGAGGCATGTAGCTACCAGGACAAGAGTATTTCAGGCCGAAGGTGGTGGCCTGTGTGTGTAACCCCAGCACTTGGGAGGCTGAGGCAGGAGGGTCGCAGGGAGTTTGAGGCCCTACATAGTGAGACCCTGCCTCAGAAAAATTTTTTAAAAAAAGGAATATTTCAGTCAGAGGAAACCGCAAGTTCATAAGTCCTAAGACTAGCTAATATACTTGACCTGCTCACAGCACATCAGGGAGGCCAATAAGACTAAAACAAAGGAGATATAGCTCAGTGGCACAGCACCAGCCTGGCACGTGCAAGGTCCTGAGTTTGATTCCTGGTGTGAAATAAATAGATAAATAAATAGGACTAGAATAGAGAGGCGGAAAGGGAGGGAATGCTATAAAATAATGGACAGGTAGTCAGGAGCAGATATGTAAAGCATTATACGCCATGGGGAAGACTGTTGTATTCTAGGTGTTCTGTGAAGTAACTGGAGGTGTTTGAAAGAGAGGATATGATGTATGGGTCACACTGGCTGCTGGAGGTGGTGCCCTGGTAGACCACAGGAGTAGAAGGGAAACCAGTTACAAGCGCACGTGGTAGAATAAGGGAGGCAGCAGTAGCATGGGCTAGTGTGGCAGTGCTCAGAGCGGTAAGAACTGGTCGTATTCTGAAATCTTGAAGATTTTGCCAGCATGGTATGTGGATGGTTTGGGGGTAGAGCGTGAGAAAAAGAGGGACCAAGGATGATAGATTTCTGTCGCCATCCCCCAGTCAAAAGAGAAAATGACGACAAATTTAGCTTTAAGATCTTAGCTTCCATTTGCATTTCTAGAATTGAGCAACCCCGCACTTAAGATAGGTGTGTTTTAAGGTACACCCCAATAAGAATGGATGTTCCAGTGAGCGGAGGAGAGGAGGCTGACTGTAGACAGAAGAGGGCTGGGGAAAGCAGAAACAGAACACCAAGTGGGTTGGTTTGTCTTAGTTACTTTCCTTGTAAAGATGAAAGCAGAGAGGGCATTATTATACCAGCTAGCATTTGCCTGTTTGGGAATTTGTCTCCTGATTTCTTGGAAGCTGTGCTAAACCACTTAGTTTTGGCTTCAGATTCAAAGTGGTACGGAACTTCAGCATGAGCAGCTACTTCTTGGGTGGTCGATTGTCGAAGCATAACGGCCTCCTATAGATTCTACTTAATACCCCCATGCACACTGATATTCTGGGTAATCAAGTGAGTAATGCTGGGCTCTGCTACTAGCAAGGGGGAAGTTTAGGAGGAGGACAGGCCAAACCTTGAAGGTTTTGTTTGGGACATTCCAGGGGTTTGAGGTGCCTGTTGGATATCTGAGTGGACTTCCAGTGGAATAGTGGAACCTGGAATTCAGGGGAAAGTCAGGGCTACAGATGTGCAGGGGGAGCAGTCGGCGTGTGTGTCATGTGGAAGTCCCGAGACTATGAGACTCACTCGAGAGTGAGTGTGGATGAGAACATACTTGAGCCATGAGTGATTAGAGATGGTTTGTAAAGCAGAAGAGAATGGGGATGTTATGCCTCGGGGACCCTTGTGGAGAAACCATAAATGTCTTGGCCATCTCGGCATACTAGGAGTGGGGGTTCTCTTTCTAAAGAGACTGGAGACCCTCTTATTGTGTTTCCTACTTCATAATGACACTGAGATCTTCGAGTGTATTTGTGGCCCACATCTAATAGGCTATAGAATTAAGGAGGGTGACTTGGGGACTGTTGGAATCAGGGTCCCTGGCAGGCGGTGTAGCACCTTGTGAAGGGTTAAGGAAGGAAGAGTGGTGAAAAGTTAGCTGTGAAGGTGTGGTAGGGGGAAAGGCAGCCAGCAGCGGTGGTCTGATGGTCCGTGGGGAGTGTTACCAGCCTCCAGGGTGGAAGCGGCAATGTGACATAGTGGTTATTAGAACCCAGTGAGACCTGTAGCTGCAGGCGAAGCCTGGAGTCAGGGAGGCCTTCCGGGAGCACCGAGCAGGTGGAGAAGGGTAGAAAGAATCAGCAGAAGCGAACAGGAAATGTTCAGGCAAGCACTAACCCCGTTCCTGCTGTGCCTTGCTTTGGTAACCTTACTTTCCCTTTTCTTTATTTTCTGCTTTACTATGAAATTATTTTGTCTTGGTACTTTGTAAGCCTCTTTAAATCCTTTCTTGGAAGAGGCCAAAAGATGGGAGGAAAGATGAAACATGATCATGAAGAATGGCTCCTGCCAGTAAGGGTTCCAAAGCTGTACTTCATGTGTGAACTCAATAAACTTTTCCCTTTGGGGGGATAGGGAGTGCGTGAGACTTGGATAGGGCATCTAGATGTAGAAGCCAGGACTCTAGCCGGGCATGGTGGCGCACACCTGTAATCCCAGCATTTGAGAGGCTGAGGCAGGAGGATCGTTGAGAGTTTGAGACCAGCCTGGGCTACAAAGTGAGCTCAAGGCCAGCCTGAATAGCATAGTGAAACTCTGTCTCAAAAAGCCAAAAAAAAAGAAGCCAGGACACTGATACACATCCTGCAGTGTGCAGGACATGCTCCAACAACAAAGAATTATCTGGGCCACAATATCAGGAGAGCCAGGGTTGAGCGGCACTGCAGGAGAAAGAATGGAAGCTACAGGTCCCTTGAAGCCTCAGAGTAAAACTTCTTTATTTTTCAGTGCTATGTACTGAACCCATGCCCTTTGCACTGAGCTACATCCCCAGCCCTTGACATTTTAATTTTGAGACAGGATCTCATCTTGCACAGGCTGGGCTCAAACTTATAACAACCTTCCAGAGTGCCAGGATTCCAGGTATGCCTGGCTTTAAAATTCATGACACTGTTTTCAGTTCATTCTACCGGTCAGAGTATAACGTAGCTAGGCCATGTTCCAGGAACTGAGAAGTAGAGGGTTCTGTCTTTTGCTAGGAGGAATTAAAAAGAATTTATAAACATCTGTTACCTTCCTCAAAAGCAGATGCTTTGGGGTGGGCTGAGGAAGGGTGAATCTAATTTTTTATTATGAAATACTTGCACATATATGTAATATATGTATATATATTTGTAAATTATAAGTAAATGCCCACGTACCCTGAGGCCCTGGGATAATACAGTATGTTATTTGACCCTATCTTTTATCCTCCTATATCCATACCATAAAAGGCAGGCTATCTTTCCCCTTTCCTCGGCTTTAAACTAACCATGCACATTGCTTTGGACAAATGGAATGATAGCAGAAATTATGCAGTGGTTGAAGTAGGTTTGCTCTGTCTGTCAGTGCACCCTCTGCTACTCTGAACTACCATGAGCTTGCAACTAGCCAGGCAGTTCAGGAACAGTGAGACCCACCTGACTGCACTCACCCTGCTGATCCACACACCTGACTGAGGTTTAAAAGCGAGCCCATCCTGAAAGAGCAGACCCCCAGCTCACCTGAAGATATATGAAAAATAGAGGCTTATTTTATATCACCAGAATTTTGTGGTTATTTGTTACACAGTAAAAGCAATCAATACATGAAAAAAATACTCATAAAAAATATTTCCTTAAAGTCAGTCTCCTGTGTTCCCTTGCTGATTCCTTCCCGTTTCTTCTTTAGAGTGATGCGTGTATTAATAGATTTTCTGTTGTTAACCCATCCTCCATTCCTGCAATAAGCGAACACGGTTGCTTTATAAAAACTCAGAGTGTCAGTGTGATAATGTTTAGGAATTTTGTCCTATGCTTATGAATGTCGTATAATTTTTATGCTACCATTGGAAGGTTTGAATTTTAAGATTATACTAGCTTATAAGATGCCTCCATTTCTATGCCTCACTAGTTTTTTAGAATGTTTGGATGAAATAGGAATTAACTGCTTCTTTGGTAGGACTTAGCAGTAAGACCATCTGGACTAGAATGTTGTCTTGGATCAAATAAATAAATGCAAAGTACAATTAAGTCAAAAAGCAATTTATCATATTTAAAAAGCAATTTATCATATTTTCAGGTGACAAATTTGGTTGAAAAGATCTATGATTATATCTTTAGGGTAAAAAAAGTTAAAATGAATTTGATTCAATTTACAGTATTATGATTAAAGCATTGTGGAATTGCTCAGAGGGAAATTTACCTCCTCCTAGATATACATTTATGTTTTTATATCTTTGCTTTTATTTCTTTTTTCTATTTCATTTTATTTTATTTGTCGTTTTTTTGAAACAGGGTCTCG